CTCCTCAGTTTTTCACCTCTCTCCCCGCTCCCCCCTCCCTCATGAACTCTTGATAATTTATAAATTATTATTTTGTCATATCTTGCACTCTCTGACGTCTCCCTTCACCCACTTTTCTGTTGTCCATCCCTGAGGGAGGAGGTTATATGTAGATCCTTGTAATCAGTTCCCCCTTTCCACCCCACCCTCCTCCTACCCTCCCTGTATTGCCACTCTTACCACTGGTCCTGAAGGGATCTTCTTCCCTGGATTCCCTGTGTTTCCAGTTCCTATCTGTACCACTGTACATTCTCTGGTCTAGCCAGATTTGTAAGGTAGAATTGGGATAGGCAGAATAAAGAAGCCAGAAGAGAGAACAACAGGATGACAGATTTTGTGAACATGGGGGTGGGGGGGGGGAGGGTGTGATGGAAATATCCACATTGAGCTGTCACTCTCCTGGGTCTCCTCGGGACTTGCAAATTCTCTTGATGACATCACTTGGTGCATAATATGGACTCCAATATTCTGTTTTACTTCTTGAGTTCTGTTCATTCACGGACCTTTTCTTCGGGTGCATTTTATATCATTTGCATGGTACAATATATGGTTACTTTCTGAGGGAAAAGGAAAGCCCTCAACCGGTCCTAGGGTGGAGTAAAACTCACACCCTAATGGAGAACCTCTTGAGTTAGAAACATGATCACATACCAAGATTGAAGACTGATCTTGAAAGAGATTTTCAGAGCACACAGAGCAAAGGAAGGGCGAGGGAGAGAGGGGAGCACATCCTGGCCTCCAAGCCCTGAGGACGATATTCCTGCTCAGAGCAGCCAATGCACAGAGAGGACCATAGGGCTGGCACCACCACAATACACGAAGTCCCTCACTGACCCACAGTGCTACGGGGGACAATACTGGAGACACAGTGCCGGAAGTGTGCCCGATCTGATCCCACCACACCAGAGGTGAAACACTAAGGGCATGCAACAGAACAGCAAGGGAAGCAAAGCAACGAAGTTCCCAGGGAATACCGAAAATAGACTGTGGCATCCCATCAGACTCGACCAGAAAACACTCCTACAGGTTAAAAAACAGTCCTTGAACTATTTATAGGCTTTTCCTTTTTTTGTTGTTGTTGTTGGTTTTTTTGTTGTTTTGTTTCCTTTTGTTGTTTTGTTTTGCTCTGTACTGTTTTTGTGCATATTATTATCACTGCATGTCTATCTAGATAAGATAGACAGGATAGTTTTGAGAATGATGATGACAACAAATGTACAAATGTGCTTGAAACAATGGGTGTATGTATGAATTGTGATAAGAGTTCTATGAGCACCCAATAAAATGATTAAAAAAAAAGATAG